ATCATTCTACTCATTATTATAATAAACTCTACTTTAAAAAAAAGATTCTACATATTAGTGAGATCAGTATTATTTGATCACACTGTTACTGTTAATATTCTCTCTCTCTCTCTTCCTCTCTCTTCCTCTTTCTTCCTCTCCCTCTATCTCTGTCTTCTCCTTCCCCCTTTCTTCCCCTTGGAAAAATCTCTGAAGTCCATCCTTGATAATTTCTTATGCTGAATACCTCTTGGTTTTCCATCTCTGTTTATTTGCTGAGACAGATCCTTACATTGGAGGCAAAATGCTTGAGCTTTTACATCCACCTTTTTGACCACTCTTGTAGGAGTCATGACAAATTATTAACCAATCTGTGCATTTGCTTTCTTGTCTGTTAAATATAACTACTACATTAAATACATGCTAAGGCCTTTGAGGAGTGCCCAGCATGTATTAGGCACTTAATACATATAATTTCCTTTCCCTTCCCCAATTTTCCTTTTGGTCTGCTCCTTGCCAGCTACCTCACCATCCTTTGTCTTTTGGCAGCTCTCATCCTTATTTTCTTGCAAGGAAAGACAATGAATTAATACAGAGCAAGTATGATCTCATTTTTTAAAAAAAGACATGCTTGATTGGAAGAGAATGATGTTTTGTTGTCTCGCATCACCTGAGTATGAGGGTTTATTCAAATACTGTGCTGTGTCTTCATTCACTGGACCAGTTTCTTAGTCATGTGTATGTCCTGCAGCCATTCACTTGAAAACAGGCTTTCACTAAGTGGGATACAGTTCACCAAAAGAAGGGGACAACTGAACCAAGGGCTATGGAGTGCCATTTATCATGTATTCCTCAGCTGGAATAGCCCAGAGAGTGGGGGAGTCTATATATTGAACACCCTTTTATGGAATGCTATCAGGGCTTCAGCCCAGGCAGTGGGTGCTGTAGGACATTAAGGTGAAAGACGGTGTCTTTGATCCAGAGGCATCCGTCAAGTAGGGAAGACAGGCACACTAAAGCTGAATGACAGTGCAGTGGAAGGGTTTTCTTCTGTGAACACAGGATGCTTTAGGAACACAGGAAAAAAAAAAAACAAAAAACAAGACACAAAGGAGGCTTCCCAGTGGGTGTGATGAGAATTTGAATGGACGAAATGAAAGCTGGTGCAGTGTCAGCGTTCAAAGGACCTTTAGAGGTTATCTGGCCCAAACCATCCTGCTGAAAAACAGCTAACTGAAGGCTAGAGAAACACCTGAGCTCATGTATCACATTCTAGGAAGCTGGGATAAGAATCTTTGCAATTTACATATAAGCCTGTGGGATACAGATGCACATTGCAGGTTGGGTTTTCTGGGAGGCAGACACAGAGGTGGAGTTTAGAATGCAAGGTGTTTATTAGGGATCCATACCTGTGCAAGGAAGAGGACAGGTGCAGAATTGATAGAGGGGGAAGTTTTACAGCCATGCAGGTCTGACCTCAGCTGGTCCGGAGAGAAGCTTGTCCGAATGCCCCCCATTGGACCAAATGGTTAAGACTGTATACCCACCTCCCTTCATCTCTGGACACAGACTGTCCCAGGCTGGGTGCAAGCTCCCTGAGACAGTGCTCTGCAGCCAATATGGACCTGACTTGCTGACAGTTGGAGACTCTCTTCTAAAAACTTTTTTCTTTATTGATTTTAGAGAGAGGAAGGTAGAGAGAGAGAGATAGAAACATCAATGAAAGAATATCCATTGGCTGCCTCCTGCCTGCCCCCCACTGGGGATTTTGCCCCAACCTGGGCATGTACCCTGACTGGGAATCGAACCGGCGGCCTCTTGGTGCAGGGGTCGATGCTCAACCAGTGAGTCACACCGGCTGGGCAGGAGGCTGTCTTCTGAGAGTACCTGGGGGGCCTGCCCTTCCTCACAAAGGATCTGGGTAGCATGGCTCTGTGCCTAGCTGAACAGAACTGGACTTAATAATTTATTGGAAAGTCACCATGTCTGGAAATTTTATATGCATTGTCTTATTTGACTCTCCCAGCCACCTTTGAAGAAAATGTCATTATGCCGCCTGTATGCTCACGAACTTGTGGGCCAATTTCTTTACAGATGTGAAAATGTTAATAGCAAAACCACCTTCTGGGTGGGCATCCCAGGGGGTCTGAGAGCATTTACTAGTGTCATTTGTGTCTGAGGTCAGCAACAATGATTTATCACGGGGTTGGGGGGCTGAAACAGAATCAGACTACAGTTCCATTGAAGACAAACTATCAAGTCTGAGTTAAAAGGACCAATGCCTGGGTTCACTCAACTTCCTCACTTGAGGAATTTTCGGTGATCACTGAACAAACAGACCATTTTTATCACATATAGGCTCCAACTTTGAAAGGAGACCCCTAAAATGGGCCATCCCAATCCCTTGTCTGTAATGTTCTAGACAGTGGCTTGAATACTTCTAATGACTGGACAGTCACAGCCTTTCCATGTATCTCCTCTGGGTTGTAATTCTGCTACTCTTTGGAGTCACACAGAATAAAAGCATCTTCTCTTCCCATTGGCTGTCATTTTAAATAAGTGAAAGCAGACCGGTCAGTGTGGCTCAGTGGTTGAGCATCAACCCATGCACCAAGAGGTCGCCGATTTGATTCCCGGTCAGGGCACATGCCCGAGTTATGGGCCAAATCCCCAGTGGGGGTCATGCAGGAGGCAGCCAATCAATGTTCTTTCTCATCAATGTTTCTATCTCTCTCCCCCTCCCCCTTCCTCTCTCTCTCAAATCAATAAAGAAAAAAATTTTAAAAATAAATAAATAAGTGAAAGCACATTTCATGCAGACTTCTCTACTTTCCCCCAAATTCCTAACCTGGCTCTATGCTCTAACTCTGACCTAGGTTCACTCACCCAACCTTTCTCAGATTTTTTTTTTCTCATTCATATTGTGGACATAAGCACATCTACCTAATAGAATTATGAAGCTTAAATGAAACACTGCATTTACATGGTAAACATTAAATGAACAATAATCATTATAGTTAATGTCGTTAGTCCTACATTTATACGCATGGTAATTTTGACGGTGAATGAATTAATTCATATGGACACAATACTTCAGTTACAGTGGTCATTGATATACCTAAATCCTTTCAGTTCATGGATTTTTCTCTCAAATGGAATGTGTGGTGGATTCAGCTATGGTGCCCTGGTTCTGTGTATATCGGGTTTCTGATGGGGCACAGGAGCTCCCTGAATTCTACTTGGCATGATTAAATACATTGGACAGTTTGGATTCCCATCCCCAAATTATGTGGAAGTAAAATGAAACTTGGAGTGGTAGCCTCATCCCAAATCATACATGTACTGCTCAGAGCCAGTACCTGAATTTAATTATTTATCTATTTAGGAAAATCAAATGCATTCTCTCCCTGGAGGGAGGGGGGCTTGGAATACACACACACACACACACACACACACACACACACACACACATTTTTGTTTAATTGCAGGTGGTATGTATACTGTAAAATGAGAACCCCTTACTTAAAGGCACTGTGGTTAATAGTCTCTGTAATGCAGAAATCAAACTGGGTGGGAATCAGTATTTGTGATCTGGCTCCTGGTAGAGAGAATCAAACTGGCAGAGAGCAGACCGAATGAGTTGCGGAGCCATCGTAAAAGTCAGTGAAACTCATGTGAAAATGTCTCATCTTCTCTAGATTCGGTGAGGCCAGTGCTCCTGGAATAAAGAATGAAATCGTAGGCACGCAGAACAGAGCTCCCAGTTTTAAAGCTATCCAATGTTCTGCTAGCTGCACAGGTCAGAATGCTCTGATTCACCACTGCCTAAGGTCCAGAGCTACCTGTGCCAGGGGACGACAGAACTGAAACAAACAAACCAACGACAACAGCAACAAGATGCTTTGTCATGTCTTCGGCCAGGCCTAGACACATGGACATGTTTGTTCCTTTTAAGTAACTTGCACTTAGTTTAGCTATCTTATCCTGGACTTACAAACCTGCTATTGTGAAACTACTACAAGAACTCAGTTCGAATGGTCTGTCTGTCTGCCTCCAAACTGCCCCACTTTCTCATACACCCTCCACATAAATATTTGCCAGCATAGGACCTTAGACACAGAGAGCTGGTTACAGATTTAACCTAGGTTTGACATTGGGCCTAGGCATCTGCATTTATAATGAGTTGCCTCATGGAGTCTGGGGCTCAGTCATCTTAACAGAAGTTCTCAAACATGACTACCACAGCCAGCATGCTTCATGTCTTAGATATATTGCAGACTTACGAAAAGAAGGGAGAGTGACAGCGCAGAGTAACGGCCTTTTACTTGAAATAAGCCCATTCCCTGTAGGTGCTCTCCCAAGGGCCTTCTTCTCGCCTGAGTCCTGTCTCAGTCACTCCCACTCTTTCTCCAAGCAGTGCCCATCTTGGCTCTGCTCTTCCTCTGCCCTCACAGACACAAAGTAGACTCTTCCTTATGATACCTGGCCAGGAACCAGGGCTGACTTCACTATAAAGGACATGCTTTACATAGAAGAATCTCTCACAACCAATTTATATGCTAATTGTCAAGAGTACCCATCTCTCCGACTCATTACAAGACTCTCACAGTTCTATCCTTCACTAGCTCACACCTTACATGGCCCCACCATACCCCAAGGATCCAGTCTCACTGTAGCTGCATGTGACAGTTATCTGGGGAGTTTAGAAGAGACTGATGCCTGGGTGCCATCACAGACCATGAAATACAAGTCTGAGGATAGTCCCCAGCATAGATAGTTTAAAAACCGCTCCCCAGGTGATGCTGATTTCCAGACAGGATTCATACCTACTAGGTTAAAGACATCCCAGACTCCTGCGCGTGGGCCTGGGTGCCTTTGAAGATTGAGCCTTGACTTTCTTTTACAGTTTTCTGCCCCACTTTGCTTCCGTCACACTCTGTGTATTAGCCGTAACTCTAGGGAGTCTCCTTTTTGGAAATAACTCAATAATCAAAACACAGATTCTTCAAGCATCAGTGAAAATGCTGCTGCTTCCATCAAGTCCCACCCATTTCCATCAAGTCCCATCCCACTTCCCCCAAGTCCCACCAGCTTACCTCAAGCCCCACCCGCTTCCGCAAAGTCCCACCCGCTTCCCTCAAGACTCACCATCTTCCCCCAAGTCCCACCCGCTTCCGCCAAGTCCCACCCGCTTCCGCCAAGTCCCACCCGCTTCCTCCAAGTCCCACCCGCTTCAGTCAAGCCCCACCCGCTTCCTTGAAGCCCCATCCGCTTCCGCCAAGTCCCACCCGCTTCCGTCAAGTCAAACCCGCTTCATCCAAGTCCCACCCACTTCCGTCAAGCGCCATCAGCTTCCCCCATGTCCCTCCCGCTTCCACCAAGTCCCACCTCTTCTGTCAAGTCCCACCCGCTTCCTCCAAGCCCCACCCGCTTCCGTCAAGCCACACCCACTTCCACCAAGTCCCACCTGCTTCCGTCAGGTCCCACCAGCTTCCACCAAGTCCCACCCGCTTCCGCCAAGTCCCACCGCTTCCCTCAAGTCCCTCCCGCTTCCACCAAGTCCCACCTTTTCCGTCAAGTCCCACCCACTTCCACCAAGTCCCACCCGCTTCCGCCAAGTCCCACCGCTTCCGTCAAGTCCCACCTGCTTCCGTCAAGTCCCACCTGCTTCCTCCAAGTCCCACCCACTTCCGTCAAGCGCCATCAGCTTCCCCCATGTCCCTCCCGCTTCCTCCAAGTCCCACCCGCTTCAGCCAAGTCCCACCCGCTTCCGTCGAGCCCCACCCGCTTCCACCAAGCCCCACCCGCTTCCGTCGAGCCCCACCCGCTTCCACCAAGCCCCACCCACTTCCGTCAAGCCACACCCGCTTCCCCAAAGTCCCACCCGCTTCAGTCAAGTCCCACCCGCTTCAGTCAAGTCCCACCCACTTCCGTCAAGTCCCACCCGCTTCCCCCAAGCCCCACCCGCTTCCGTCAAGCCCCACCCACTTCCTCCAAGCCCCACCCGCTTCCGTAAAGTCCCACCCGCTTCCACCAAGTCCCACCCGCTTCCCTCAAGTCCCTCCCGCTTCCACCAAGCCCCACCCGCTTCCTTCAAGTCCCACCGCTTCCCTCAAGTCCCTCCCGCTTCCACCAAGTCCCACCCGCTTCCACCAAGTCCCACCATTTCCGTCAAGTCCCACCGCTTCCACCAAGTCCCACCCGCTTCCGTCAAGTCCCACCCGCTTCCACTAAGTCCCACCCGCTTCCTCCAAGTCCCACCCGCTTCCACCAAGCCCCACCCACTTCCGTCAAGCCACACCCGCTTCCCCAAAGTCCCACCCGCTTCCTCCAAGTCCCACCCGCTTCCACCATGTCCCACCCGCTTCCCTCAAGTCCCTCCCGCTTCCCTCAAGCCCCACCCGCTTCCTTCAAGTCCCACCGCTTCCCTCAAGTCCCTCCCGCTTCCACCAAGTCCCACCTTTTCCGTCAAGTCCCACCCACTTCCACCAAGTCCCACCCGCTTCCACCAAGTCCCACCATTTCCGTCAAGTCCCACCGCTTCCACCAAGTCCCACCATTTCCGTCAAGTCCCACCCGCTTCCACCAAGTCCCACCATTTCCGTCAAGTCCCACCCGCTTCCACCAAGTCCCACCGCTTCCCTCAAGACCTTCCCGCTTCCACCAAGTCCCACCTTTTCCGTCAAGTCCCACCCACTTCCACCAAGTCCCACCCGCTTCCACCAAGTCCCACCTGCTTCCGTCAGGTCCCACCAGCTTCCACCAAGTCCCACCCGCTTCCGCCAAGTCCCACCGCTTCCTTCAAGTCCCACCGCTTCCCTCAAGTCCCTCCCGCTTCCACCAAGTCCCACCTTTTCCATCAAGTCCCACCCACTTCCACCAAGTCCCACCTTTTCCGTCAAGTCCCACCCGCTTCCACCAAGTCCCACCGCTTCCCTCAAGTCCCTCCCGCTTCCACCAAGTCCCACCTTTTCCGTCAAGTCCCACCCACTTCCACCAAGTCCCACCCGCTTCCACCAAGTCCCACCATTTCCGTCAAGTCCCACCGCTTCCACCAAGTCCCACCATTTCCGTCAAGTCCCACCCGCTTCCACCAAGTCCCACCATTTCCGTCAAGTCCCACCCGCTTCCACCAAGTCCCACCCGCTTCCCTCAAGTCCCACCCGCTTCCACCAAGTCCCACCCGCTTCCGTCAAACCCCACCGCTTCCGTGAAGCCCCACCGCTTCCGTCAAGCCCCACCCGCTTCCTCCAAGCCCCACCCGCTTCCGTCAAGTCCCACCCGCTTCCGTCAAGCCCCACCCGCTTCCTCCAAGCCCCACCCGCTTCCGTCAAGCCCCACCGCTTCCACCAAGTCCCACCCGCTTCCGTCAAGTCCCATCCACTTCCTCCAAGCCCCACCCGCTTCCGTCAAGCCCCACCCGCTTCCTCCAAGCCCCACCCGCTTCCGTCAAGTCCCACCCGCTTCCACCAAGTCCCACCTTTTCCGTCAAGTCCCACCCACTTCCACTAAGTCCCACCCGCTTCCGTCAAGTCCCACCGCTTCCACCCAGTCCCACCCGCTTCCACCCAGTCCCACCCGCTTCCACCAAGTCCCACCCGCTTCCTCTAAGTCTCTCCCGCTTCCGTCAAGCCCCACCGCTTCCGTCAAGCCCCACCCGCTTCCGCCAAGCCCCACCCGCTTCCGTCAAGCCCCACCCGCTTCCGTCAAGCCCCACCCGCTTCCGTCAAGTCCCACCCGCTTCCACCAAGTCCCACCTGCTTCCGTCAAGCCCCACCGCTTCCACCAAGCCCCACCCGCTTCCTCCAAGCCCCACCCGCTTCCGTCAAGCCCCACCCGCTTCCTCCAAGCCCCACCCGCTTCCGTCAAGTCCCACCCGCTTCCACCAAGTCCCACCTTTTCCGTCAAGTCCCACCCACTTCCACCAAGTCCCACCCGCTTCCGTCAAGTCCCACCGCTTCCACCCAGTCCCACCCGCTTCCACCAAGTCCCACCCGCTTCCTCTAAGTCTCTCCCGCTTCCGTCAAGCCCCACCCGCTTCCTCCAAGCCCCACCCGCTTCCGTCAAGCCACACCCACTTCTGTCAAGCCCCACCCGCTTCCGTCAAGTCCCACCCACTTCCACCAAGTCCCACCCGCTTCCGTCAAGTCCCACCTGCTTCCGTCAAGTCCCACCTTTTCCGTCAAGTCCCACCCACTTCCACCAAGTCCCACCCGCTTCCGTCAAGTCCCACCCACTTCCTCCAAGTCTCTCCAGCTTCCGTCAAGTCCCACCCACTTCCACCAAGTCCCACCCGCTTCTGTCAAGCCCCATCCGCTTCCACCAAGCCCCATCCGCTTCAGTCAAGTACCATCAGCTTCCCCATGTCCCTCCCCCTTCCACCAAGTCCCACCGCTTCCACCAAGTCCCACCCGCGTCCGTCAAGCTCCACCCGCTTCCACCAAGCCCCATCCGCTTCCCCCAAGTCCCACTCGCTTCCCCCAAGTCCCACCCGCTTCCTCCAAGTCCCACCTGCTTCTACCAAGCCCCACCCACTTCCGTCAAGCCCCATCTGCTTTCCCCAAGTCCCACCCGCTTCCCCCAAGTCCCACCCGCTTCCGTCAAGTCCCACCCGCTTCCGTTAAGTCCCACCCGCTTCCACCCGCTTCCACCCAGTCCCACCCGCTTCCACCAAGTCCCACCCGCTTCCTCCAAGTCCCACCTGCTTCCACCAAGTCCCACCCGCTTCCGTCAAGCCCCACCCGCTTCCCTCAATTCCCACCCGCTTCCGTCAAGTCCCACCCGCTTCCACCAAGTCCCACCCGCTTCCACCAAGTCCCACCCGCTTCCACCAAGTCCCACCCGCTTCCGTCAAGTCCTACTTGATTCTCCTCTTCTGAACATACTACCCTTTTTATTTGATCTGGGACACCCTCATCACAACAAGCCTGTTCTATTTCATATGAAAGTCACATTTATGTACCTTCCTCTCCATTAGCCCCTCAGCATTCCCTGTTATAAAGCATTAAAATTAGCATTTGTTCTATTTTAGTTGCTATATTAATACAACTTATATTTGATGAATAGACTTGTTAATGGAAAATTTAAACATCCATCATACTACATTTATAACACTTAGCTTCCCATGTCTTAGAGGAGACAGCAAAATGAGGTGTAAAAATGGTAAAACCCAAAATAGGTGATTTTGGAATTGACGGAGATCTTTAAACTTTAGAGCAGAAAGTGCCTTGGAGATCACTTACGTCTATTACCTTTTTAGACAAATCAATAGAACAAAGGCCAATGAGGGAAAGAAATTTACCAAGCTCATATAGGCAGTTAGTAGAGTTCTGGAATGGCCCTGGTAAGCTCTCTGGTCCTCTATGTACCAGGCCAAATAATTCCCATTAAAAACGTCCACAGCCCTGACTGGTGTGGCTCAGTTGGTTGGGCGTCATCCTGTGCATGGAAAGGTAGCCAGTTGGATTCCTGGCCAGGGCACATGCACAGGTTTCGGGATCAATCCCCAGTGCGGGGGCCTGTGGGAGACACATTGATGCTCTCACATCGATGTTTCTCTCTCTCCAAAAAAATCAATAAAATATATTTTTTAAAAATAGAAAAGCATATGAGAAGTCTACTTCTTAAAAAAAACAAAAACAAAAAAAAACCATAGACACGAAGTGTACATCCGAAAGGGAGCAGGTTGGTCTCTGAGATTCCTGCAGGGGACTATGAGGTCAAAACCATCTTCATAATAATACCAAAACATGACTTGCTCTGTTCACTGCATTGACATTTTCACTGACACTGCAGAGGCACCAAGGAGCAAAACTGCTGGTGCCTAAGTGTTTATCAAGGCCATCCCACCAGGCTACCAGGGCTCACTGTGGTCTCCATGGCCATGACTTGCTCTGTTCACTGCATTGACATTTTCACTGACACTGCAGAGGCACCAAGGAGCAAAACTGCTGGTGCCTAAGTGTTTATCAAGGCCATGCCACCAGCCTACCAGGGCTCACTGTGGTCTCCATGGCCATGCACCCATGGCAAAAGAAGGTGTCAGTTGCCCCACAAATGTCCTTGATGAAGCAATGAACAGGATTACTTTTATTAAATCTCGATTTCTGAGTAAGCGTCTTTAGTAATCAGCTGTGTGAGGGAGGGGGACTAAGCAGAAACCCCCATGCTGCGTCCCCAAGTACAGAGTCGCCTTTAGGATAAATACTGGCATGACCAAATTGCAAGCTGCACCGGCTACTTTTCCACAGAACACCATTTTTACTTATTTATTTAAAAAAATTTTTTTTCTTTATTGACTTTGGAGAAGAGGAAGTGAGAGGGGGAGAGAGAGATAGAAACATCGATGAGAGAGAACATCAGTTGGCTGCCTCCTGCGTGGATCGGGCCCACAACCTGGGCATGTGTCCTGACCGATTGCACCTGTGACCTCTTGGTGCATGGGTCGACGCCCGACCACTGAGCCATACTGGCCAGACTGGAACACCATTTTTACTCGAAAGAAGGACTAACATGCAATAATAATTCAGACTTGTGTTTTTAGTAGACACTTCATCAAAAGCAAACAAAGGGAGACTGTTACTTCTTGGAAAACACCTGACAATACTTATCGTTAATGATACAAGTTGGGCTTTCAAGCCAAAATTAGAATTTTGTCAAACATGTGTATCAGTGTAATCAAAAGTCTGACTCCATTTTTTAAAAATATTTGACAGGCCCCACCCCTCTCTTGTTCCCTGTGGTCCCACATTGGGGCACACTGAGGAGAAAGCCCCAGGGCACTCCCCCGGGGGTCAGCAGAGAAATTCCAACCACGCAAGCCCTGGCCATGCACGAACTCTCACTCTGCTCCGGGGTCTGCACAGTATCAAAGCCACCCTCCCCTTGTTTCCTGGAGTCATTTCAGACCAGCCTGGGTGCCTGCCCTGCTCTTTCCCGAAAACCTTGATACATAAGTAATGAATATGTTTTATACCCTCAATAAAAAATCCTTAGACATCATTACTTTATAGCCCAAGAAAGTTTACTCTGAAAGCAACTCGATTGCATCATCCCCTGCCACGTGTGGTTAGGGAAAGGTCCACTTCAATGCAGGAAACAGCTACAGTCCTGTCTTCCTATTAAAACCATCACGAAACATCCCAATGCACTTTGCATGAGATCCCGCCGTCCATACAAATGAACTCATCACACACATCTGAATGCATCAAGTACACATGAGTCAAAGCTCCAGCATAGTCTGATGTTTAGCAACCTTCCCTTGGAACCCAGATGGGTTTTCATGAGTTGCCATCCAAGAACATGATTTAGCAAAGAGGAAATAAGATCAATTAGAGCCATGTTCCAGCATGATGCTAGAGGCTTCAAGGAAAACCACGATGTCTATACCATTGTGAGTATAGAAAAACTTCTCATCCAGTTTGGGGAAAACCAACACACACATCCAATTGCTTTAAAATGAGGCCAAGTGGACAAGTATATGCATGCAGGATACATAGGTTTGCGGTGAAGCAAAACCTTTGACTTAACATCAAAATTGCCTACTCAAGGAAGAAGGCTGCCAAAGGAGAGATGTTTTAGTTGCGTGGAGCATCTTACTGGGTTAAGTCACAGGAAGAGCCGAGCTCAGGGGGGGAACTAGGAAGGTTCACTTCACTTGGTCTTCCTGCAGAGCCAGGTTCTCCCCTAAAGCTCTCTACTTCACAGTCCCCCCTTTTAGCAGCTTTATCAGGAAGCCCAGAGCCTGATTTTTATTTCCCTTTAAGGATTTAGCTGCCGTCTCAACTAAGAAGAGCCAAGCGGAAGCATGAATTTAGACCTTAAACAAAACATTAATATTTACAGATGAGACTGGCTCTATATTATGGATTCCACGCACCAAATGATCACTGGAAATGCCCTTTGCCCAGATGTCTCTCACAAGGAAAGGCCTTTGTCCCTCACATGCCATTTGTCCTTCCTGACGCTTGTTGGCTTTATGATGCATTATCTGTTATGATCTCTCAATAAAAGCCTCTGCCTCATGCATTGGGCTTTAGTGATGGCTGAAAGCACCGTGGAAATTGTTTTTTTTTTCCCCTCCCATTATCATCTATCTTTTCTGTTACTGTCCTAAAGAAGGGCTAGCGTGACTCCTAGCAATGAAAGGTAGTTTTTCTTATCGGGGCCTGGATTTCAGCATGCTAATGTAAGATATTAGGGTGGCACTAAATTA